CTATATCTTGTTTATGTTGAATGCACGTCATTTTGAGTGCATGTCATCCTAACGTCCTGCCGAGTGCTCGTGCCATTTGTGCTTTCATAATTTGCATAAGCATATATCATTACGCATGGCTGTTTGATTTTACGATCTCTGTGTTTTTCTCCAAGTTTAATTGCTTGATCATGCAGGAGAAATACAGAGCTCTCCAACGATACCAAGATCGCCTAAGTTACAAGATTTCCAAGACTTGGATTTCTTATTAGCTTTTGGGTGATTACTTGGACATGACTATCAAGAGATCTTTGGTTGGGTGGTTAGGAAGGCAACTTTGACTTTTGGTTTCGGGTGGCTAGAAGTTTCTAGCATGGGTTGCAAATGTTGCATCACCTAGACAAAATCCAACTAGATTGGATTTTGCATGTGACACCTCAAGGATCTCATGATGAGGATTGCATCCTTGCTGCTAGGAAGGTTCCTACCATCCTTCCCTAGCTCTTGGAGAACCCCTTCCCTCTCATGGTTCTCTTGGAGTCCCCAACTCCAACTTTCTATGCCTTAATGCTTGTACTTCCTCCACCAATCTAGTCATGCGGATGCTAGACGTTTTTCAAATGGTTCTCACTCTCTAGACCATCTTTCTAAGTGATTCGAATTGGCGATGGTAGCTAAGCCTAAGGCGCATAATCCTACTAAGCGGATTTGCGTTTAGTTGAGAAATGAATTCGTCGTAAGTTCTCAAAGTGACGGATCCTGAACAACAGTTTGTTCCTACATTCCTTAGTCAATTCATTACGCTAGTTAGTTCTTGACATGACCGACACGAGCACGACGCAACTACCTGACAAGACGGAGGAAACTCGGTAGATGGAGTGTTCAGCGTGAAAATACCTTGCGCATTGTCTTGGGGGAATGTTGCAAAATATGTCCCAGTGGTAAGGTCCGTGCAGGTCACAAGTAACTTATGTCTATGAAACGTGGTGGTGACACCAAGGTCCGAGAGGCCGAGGGGGTGTGCAGACTTGTGAGAGAGGCGGAGAGGACTGCCAGTCACGAAAGTGAAAGGCCCCGCCCTCGCTTGGGCGCACCCGATCTCACCGTCGACGAGAAGTTCTCGACGGAGTGGTCATCGAGTAGGCTTCTGCTGTTCGACGGAGGTAGCGGTGGAGCAGGCTCTGCTTGACGGAATCTGGTCGACATTGTCGATGGGCAGCACTGGTCGAAGACAGCGGTCGACGAGGCCTGTCGAGGAGCGGTGGTCGACGAGGTCCGTCGAGGAGCGCTGGTCGACGACAGTGGTCAACGAGCCCGTCGATAAGTGCTGGTTGACGAGGCACGTCGAAGAACTTTGGTCGAAGAGCTCTGGTCGAGGAGCTCTGCTCGACGAACGCTGTTCGACAGAGCGGCGTCGAGGTGGTCGACCGAATTCGCAGAGGTGTGCGAAACTATGGTGAGGTGTGCGAAATTCGCCTAGGAGGTTTTGGCGAAGTTCGACCTGCGGAACGGCAGCACGTGCTCGAAATTCGGCACCTGGCAAAACCGACGACACGTTTTCTACCTAGCACCTGCGCAATGTGCTTGGCGGTGAAATCGTTGACCTGCACCTACTTGGTAGGTGCGCACATGTGCGCAGATAGTCACATGCGACTGCAGTGCTGGCAGACCGCGCCCAATGCAACGCTGGCAGACCGCTCTTCTGCTGCGCTAACAGAGTTCGCCCTGCAGAGTGCTTGCTAGGTGTTGCATGCCATTCTAGTTTTTTTACGTGGATGCCTCATTTGTAGTGTAATGTTCTCACAATTTCTTAGTGAAATTCTTGCCAAATCTCTTTGTGAACACATCAAGTAGTGAGGACGCCTAGTGCAACGCTACAATCACCCTGTTGCGTAGTGACTTTCAGCAGAAGTGCTGTAGCACTGCGTACGACGACTGATCTAGAGGAGATGTCGGCCAAGGAGACTGCAACAAGAGCTGAAAGTGGCGAGAGGGTGGTGCGGTCGCGGAAGAAGCACAGGGACGCACCAGAGTCCAGAGTGAAGAAGATGGGCGTGTTTGCATTGGATGCACCTGGGAAGGAAAAAGCTGAGGATCCCACACTAGACAAAGCAAGAGAACCTAGTCTAGGCACACAGGGAAAATAGGACTCGGCGATTCTGGAGTCATTAGCATGACAAAGGCAAACAAAGGCAAACTCCTGCATAACAACGCAGGCCATTCCGGAAAGGACGCCGTAGGACCAAAGGGGGTGCAGAAAAGGTCGCCGAGGAAGCGCGCAATTGGGTGCTCATTGCGCCCGCAGATGGTGCCAAGTAGTGGACCATTCTAAATCTGGTATTGGCAGGACCTGGGGGAGAGGCCAAGCCCAGCTGCCTGACCCGCCACCGCAGCCACTGCTCCCCGGCCCAGCAATTCTCTACTACTACTGGGAGACCCACTGCAGGAGTTGCCCTTGCTATTGCGGCAGATGCTGCTGTTGCTGCTGCTGCTTTTTTTGCTACTTCTACAGCTGCCGCAGAGTTACTGTCCCACCCGCGTTGGCACTAGAACCATCGGACTCACCGGAAGCAGAGCTAGTAGCTTAGACCTACGTGCACCCCCCGATGTACCAACATCTCCACCTCCTCCACGCCCACAACCACCCCTGCACCGTCCCCGCCAACCAGAGGGGGCAGAGGCGGCAACAACCTCCACTAGAGCAGTAGGCTCAGCAACAGTAACAGATGCATCTAAGAAAAATTGGGCAGAGCGCACCCCTCAAAGATGGGGAGGGACTACCGCACCAATAGTGGAGGCGATGACGCGAAGGCGGGTTTCGATCTAAGTGTGACTAGTCTCAAAGAGATCGATAGTAAGGCACATGGGGTGAATGACAAGGAGGGCATCGCGGGCAGGCGAGAGGCGGTCAGGGAGGCGGGTTGCTAGGAAATGCAGGGTGAGATACATGGGAGGGGGGTGCTCAGCAAGGTCGTCAGAGGTGGAAGCAGTGCGGAAGCTAGCACAAGCGAGCGCAGGTGGGTAGTAAGGTCAGCAACAGTTGAGAAGATAGGGAAATCATGGAAGAAGAAGGGAATGAGAAGACGCCCCAGGGTAATAGAGGAGGGGTTGGAGTAGCGAGCAATATTAGCATCAAGACACGCCTTCGCCATCTCGACTTGCCGAAAGTGCACTCGCTTGGCCAGTGGCAAGAGGCGACTAAGAGCAAGGCGCGCATCAGCGTCATGCGATTCCCAGGCCGAGTATGCAACCAGGGCCACATGGTGAGCCAGCGGCATGAGGCGACTAAGAGCAAGGCGCGCAGTAGTGTCACGCGACTCCCAGAGCGAGCATGCTAGCAGGGCCACGCAGTGAGCCAGCGGCAGGAGGCGATTAGGAGCAAGGCGTGCAGCAGCGTCACGCGACTCCCAGAGCGAGTATGCAAGCAGGGCCACGCGATGAGCCTCCCACTCCTCCGACGTGGTCTCAGTACGAAGATGAGCAAGACGTTTGGGGGCAAGACATGTGGGCGTACAGGGAGACGTCACCCTGGCGCAGGCTACGCAGGTGGAGCTTGACGTTGAGCAGTCACGCGTTAAAGTTGATCGCCCGCCCCTCCGCATAGAACTGCAGTATGAACTCATACGCCATTACAGTGGCGAGCAGGGGTACAACTGCAGCAAATGAGAGGGGACAGCCGTAGGCAGAGGAGGAGACAGCCAGAGGCAGGCAGACAAAGACCAGGTGGAGTGGGCAGGTGCGGCGGAAGGTGCAGCAAGAAGCGCGGCGGCAGGCGCGCCATGTGGTGTGGTGACAGGTGCGCCGGCAGGCATGGCAGCAGGCACGCGGCAGGCGCAGTCGGTAGGCGCGGCGGCAGGCATGACAAGAGGCACGCGGCAGGCATGGCGGCAAGCGCATGGTAGGCGCTGTGTTTGGCACGTGGCAGGCATGGCAGTGAGGAGTGGGGGTGGGGGGGGGGGGGGGGGGGTGGGGTGAGGAGGGGGGGAGCAAGGCCAGAACAAGGCGGCAGCAGGGTCGTGTCGGGGCGGCGACGATGCCGCAACGGGGCTGCGATGGGGCACGACAGTGGGGTCGCGACGGGGCCACGACTGGGCGTCGTCAGCAGCGCAACGGGGCGGCGACGGGGCCACGATGGCAGGGACGAGGTGAGGCCGCGAGGGGTGCCGTGACGGGGCCTATGGGGCGTGGCGGGGCTTAGGTGGGGGCGCTACGGGGCGCTACGGGGCCGTTAGAGGGGGGTACGCTAAAGGGAGCTAGGTAGGTAGGTCGGGTCGTGAGGGCACAAGGGGTAACTAGGTGGGTGGGTAGGTGGGGCGAAAACGAGTCAGAAACTGAATTATTGATGAGAAGATATAACCGTCTATTTAGTACGAGCCAACATTGCCTACAAAGTGCACAAGCATATATTTTTGTGTACCGTCATCGCCCGGATATAAGACATATATGTCTTATCTCGTACACGGGCAAAAATGGCTGGGTTGTCTTGTATTTGGGACGGTTTAGGGTGTCTTATAAGTCTTATAAATGGACAAAGAACCGTTTAGAAGATACCCCCTCGTTACAATTGCCCCTAACCCCTACACTGGCTTAACTCGTACACACAAATAGGTGTCGTATAATGAGGCTACCCCGTTTATAAGAGACACCCGGATAATAGACACCCCCTGTCTTCTATCCAGCACTGTCTTATATCCGGGTGATGACGGTAATTCAACAATTTCATCCAAGAGGTCTTCCGGCCGGGAGATAGCGGTACGATATTACACAACTGTGCAACGCCTCAAACCGCCATTACTGGTACATATTTGACCCCACAAATCCAATTCTTGGTGGGGAATGTAACTGTTAGGATCCTAAGTGTGCATGTGCCCTCTACTTTCTAGCTTTGTTAAAAACGCGTGTATGTGGGTTACATCCACAGCATCTCACCTCTAATTATTTTTCAGTCTATTAAGAAATTACAACTGTGCGATACCTGCAACATGCGCAATATATTGTGTGGGCCAGGGCACTGCATGTGGTCATTGCCGCCGCCCCCTCCCTCTCCTTGCCTGCTGCTGCTGCTGTTGCTGCTGCTGAGATGCTAGCTGCTGTGGCTCCAAGGAGAGTGACTCCACCACAGCTGAGGGAACAGCAGCAGCGGCATAAGTAAAATGGGGAAAAGGAGTAATCATGGTAGAGTGAGAGAAGTATCCTATCTGGAATAGGGTGTGCATGCTGATGCGACTCCAATGGCAGTGAAAGGAAAAGCAGCAGCAACAGCAGCAACAGCGGTGATAGCAACAGAAATAGGAACAGCAGCAACAGAAACGGCAGCAACGAAACAGCAGCAACAGAAACGGCAGCAAGAACATGGTTGGGTCAGGAAAGTATCATCTATCGAAAAGACGCGACAGCTGGTGTGGCTCCACGGCAACAGTCAACAAGAAACGCGGCAAGCACAGACGCAGAAGGGAAAACACAGCGCGCGCGCGTGCTCGTGTGTGTGTGTGTGTGTGTGTGTGTGTGTGTGTGTGTTTACGAAATAGTGTGTGTGTGTGTGTGTGTTTACGAAATAGTGTGTGTGTGTGTGTGTGTGTGTTTACGAAATAGTGTGTGTGTGTGTGTGTGTGTGTGTGTGTGTGTGTCTGTGTGTGTGTGTGTGTGTGTGTGTGTGTGTGTCTGTGTGTCTGTGTGTGTGTGTGTGTGTGTGTGTGTGGGTGTGTGTGTGTGTGTGTGTGGGTGTGTGTGTGTGTGTGTGTGTGTGTGTACTCGTTCGTTCGTACCCTCAAGGCCACGTGCCATGAGAGTGAAGAGAAGGTTGTGAGGTGTCATACCACTAGGGCATTGACGTGCATGCATGCCAGTGGTATGCATGTGTGCGCATGTGTGGCAAGTGGCATTCGTACCGTCTGGCCCGCGGGCCATGAGGGTGAAGAGCAGGTTGTTGAGGCGCTCCAAAAGTGCACTGGTGTGAGGGCGTGAGCATGTGCGTGCATACCGTCTGGTCCGCGAGCCAAGAGGGTGAAGAGCAGGTTGTTGAGGCGCTCCAAAAGTGCACTGGTGTGAGTGCGTGAGCATGTGCGTGCATACCGTCTGGTCCGCGAGCCATGAGGGTGAAGAGCAGGTTGTTGAGGCGCTCCAAAAGTGCACTGGTGTGAGGGCATGAGCATGTGCGGTCATACCGTCTGGTCCGCGAGCCATGAGGGTGAAGAGCAGGTTGTTGAGGCGCTCCAAAAGTGCACTGGTGTGAGGGCGTGAGCATGTGCGGTCATACCGTCTGGTCCGCGAGCCATGAGGGTGAAGAGCAGGTTGTTGAGGCGCTCCATCTTCTTGGCGTCCTGTGCTTGGTCCGTGCGGAACTTGATGCACTGGGGGCGGGGGAGGGGGGGTGGGGGAGGGAGGGGAGTCAGGAGGATTAAGGGGGTTAGGGAAGTGGGGAAGCAATAGGTGATAACCAGAGGAACAGGTTGTTAGACCCATGACACCATGACCCATGGCCCTCCAGGACCTCCTTTCAGTGTATGAGGCAGGAGCCCAAACACATGCCACAACTCCACCCATCCCCCCTTGCCGTCCCCTGACCTGGCAACGCCAGGAAAAATCAGGCCATTCCCGACCCAACCCTTTCCCGACCAGACCTCTTCCCAACCAGGCCCCTCCCTGACCAGACCAATCCCCAACCAAACCCCTTCCCGACCAAACCCCTTTCCCGGCCAGACCCCTCCCCGACCAGACCCCTCCCCGAGCCGTTAACACCAAGCGTGTCCCCCCCGACACCCTGCCTGCCTCCCTCCCCCCCACCCCACCCAGACACTGCAGGTTGGAGCAGGGACGGGGGGAAGAAGGAATGGGGAGCAGGGAAGATGGGAAGAGCGTGGAACAGAGCAGAGAACACCTAAACCTTCTACTCACAGACTCGAACTCACCTCTCCCTCGCCCTGCCACCACCCACCACCTCTCGCTCACCAACCACTTACCCCTCTCTGTCCCTGCCACCACTCATCCCTGCCACCACCCACCCACCCACCCACCTACGTTGGCAGATACGAGTATCACGTATAATACGCTAGCGTATTATACGCTGGGTATATACGCGGTACGCTAGGGGTGGCGTACTGGTGATACGTAAAAATACGCCGGGCGGGCAGGTAAAACTTTTTTCCCGGGCAGGGCTAAAAAAACCTGTTTCAGGGGGGCGGGTTATGTTTCCCAAAAACACATGTTTTTTAATTTCATAATTATCCAGAGATACATCTTTGGGGCTACTTCTCCCCACCCCATACATCCCCACCCCACCCTCTAGCTAGCCTCCACACAGCCGAGTTCCTTGCGGGGCTTTTCCAACACCACCCCTGCCCCATACTCATCCGCCAGAACTGCATCCTCTCCTTCGCCCCCCAGGGCGATATGCGACTGCGCGGTAACAAATCGCCAAGTCGCAAAACCTTCGCGAAATTTTTCAATTTCGATTTTTTTTTTTCGGCGGGCTGCCCGGGCGTATTTCCAAGAAATACGAGCGTATTAGCGTACCACGTATATACGCAAGCGTATATACGTGGTACGCAACCCTGCCCAGGGCGTATCTGCCAACGTAGCCACCCACACCACCACTCACCACGCGGTCGTCTGTGGCTTTAAGCACCAGCTTGCCATCGCAGTGCCTGTACTTGCTCACATAGCGGAACTGTTATGGGGGAGGGGCAGGGGCAGGGGCAGGGGCAGGGGCAGGGGCAGGGGCAGGGGCAGGGGCAGGGGGATGAGGTGGAGAATGTATGGGGGAGAATGAACGAGTCCGAGAGTTGTAGATATTCAAAGACGCAGTGAACGTTGGGGGTTGGCGGGGAGGGGAAGGGGATGAGGGGGGGGAAAGGAGGGGATGAGGGGGGGGAAAGGAGGGGAGAGGGGAGGGGGTGTGCGAGGTGTGTGTGTGTGTATGTGAGCATGCGAACTGGGAAGAGAGTGGAGAAGAGATGGGGAAACAGGGGGAGGGAGAGGAGGGAGAGATCAGGAAAGACGGGTAAAGAAAGGGGGGGGAGGGAAGTGATGGGGAAAGAGGGGAAAGGGAGGGGAGAAGATATGGGGAAAGAGAGGGGGGAAGAGAGAGGAGGCGGATAGAGGGGAGCGCGCAATGGCTCGAGCAGCTTCTCTGGCGTCCAAAGAGCAAGCGGGGCTGGTGGGGCGAGAGAGGCGGAGCAGGTGGGGGGAGATGGGCGGAAAGGGTAGGGGGAAAGAGGCGGCGCGTGTGGGGTGAAGGGGCGGAGCCGGTGCGGGGAGAGAGAGAGGTGGATCGGGTGGGAGTAGACGGGCGGAGCGTGTTGGGGGGGTGGAGTGGAGCGGATGCGGCGGGGGAGAGGGGCGGAGCGGGTGGCGGAACGGGGGTGGAACCGGTGGGGGGAGAGGCGCGGAGGGTGGGGGAGAGAGGCGGAGCGAGTGGGAGGAGAGAGGCGGAGCGAGTGGGGGCAGAGGGGCGGGGCGGGTGGGGGGAAGAGGGCCAGAGAGGGTGGGGGAAGAGGGGCGGAAAGTGTGGGAGGAGAGGGGCGGAGCATGTCCGGGGGGAGGGGCGGAGCGGGTGGGGGTAGAGGGGCTCTTGGAGAAGGGCGGAGCGGGTTGGGAGAGAGGGGCGGGGCGGATTGGGGGAGAGGGGCGGAGCGGGAATGCCTCAGGGCAGCCGACTTGCCACGCTTTCCTCACTGCTGACGAGCCACAATATACCGAAACGAAAGTTTATCACTATACAATTTACCAGCTTCTTATCGAACACGGATATATCGCGGAAGACTTCTAGCAGCAAGATGTTTGACCCGGAATTTCTTTCCGTATAACGACCTTTTGCGTGCTGTCGAGCTCACCCACCTTGGGGGGGAGGGGGGGGGGGGGGGGAGGGGGCGGAATCAACGCCCTCCGCCTCGTCCGCGAATCCATACCGTGTTCAATGCCGTATCGAGTACAAGCTATACAGAGTGTAAGTCAGTTACACGCAGAAAACGACAATTCGCCACCGACCTTGGAGGGGTCGGCTCGAAAGAGCACCTCCGCCTTTTCCGCAAACTCGTCCCACGTGTCGACGTACACCATGATGCCGCCCGCTGACACGCGCGAACGGGGCTGAGAACGAAAAGCACGGGATTTCGAAGCGCCGCCGACTTTAGCGCGTGTAGACGTACACGATGCGGCCCGCTGACACGCGCCGATGCGCCAAAATGGTTGGAAATGCGAACGCGCGACGAGCGATGAGCGATGGGCGGCGCGCAACGATTCGGCCTCGAGTGCAATGAGTGACTTGCGGCGCAAATGAATGATCGCGGGTTATGAGCGGGTTGAAGCGACTCGATCGCCGACGGAATTCGCGACGGGGGTTTAATCCTGGCTTTGAGGCAGCGATACTTGGTTGTGAGACGTCGGTGGTTGGCAGCGAGGCGGGAGACTTACGGGATACGAGCTAGCTCCACGCAAACTAATGTCCGGCAAGAACTAGGTCAACGAGGCTCATGAACTAGGTCCCAAGGGAAGTATTTCTGGTCCTCGATTTGATTGTTGTCGGTCCTCGGTTTCAACCAAAAGTGACATTGCTGGCGTGAGAGGATGAACTCGCTCATGTTTCCAATTGCTACACCACTGTTGCTTATAACAAACGGCACCGCAGTGGCGATCGCACATTTCCGTAAACGCGCCCTCGGAGAAACATGTCTTCTGAATAATACGACCCATCTCAGCCACCAACAAGCCGTGACAATCAGCTCAGCACTAGTAGTGCCTACCGCCGAACGCGGCAAGCTAAGCGAGGCTCGATCCTCCGAGGTTCTCAAAGTAGCCTTCCGGACGTCAGGACTCTAAGGCTCGGCGCTCGGCTCTGAGACTGTATTTCGTTGGGGCTCAGCGCTCGGCGCGCCGATCGTCCTTCGCATCGCATCCGCCGTCGTTTAACCGGCGGCTACTGCGGCCGCCGCCATCGCCGGCTAGACTTCGCCGGCGCGGCTAGTTTCGCTGGCAGGGCTAGTTTCTAATTACGCCGGCGCAGGCGCTCCGCGAAGCTCCGCATTCGTTCTCTCCCACCGTGCGGAGGGACGCCGACCGAGGGCGCTGACCGGTGACTGAATTGAGAGCGCTTCAATCAAGCGCAAGCGGGCGCGCTGCGGTGCGGTGCAGTGCGGTGTGGCGGATGGCAGCGACGCGCACAGGCGTGTATGTGGACGACTTCCTGGCAGGTGAGGCTAGAGGATGTGACTGTAGCGCATGGAATTGCAGTGGATTGGATTGCACGCGAGTCAATTTTGGAATAAATCGAACCTGGGAGGATGTTATGCTATTTGAGGTGATCTTTTGAATGTGATTCGACCCAATCTCTCACTCGACCCCCTCTCCCCTCACATCCCTCCCTCATCTCCTTTCTCATCGATCGCAACCCCCCCCCCCCCCCCCCCCCCCCCCCCCCCCCCCCTTCCCCCCTTCTCTCCCCCCCCCCCTTTCCTCTCCACTCTCACTTTCTCCTCGTTTCGCCACGCATGTGAGACCTCCCCTTGCCCCCAACACCCACCACCCCCATCTTCTTGCCGCAACACTCGTCCTCGCATCACATTTCCTGCCCTGTTTTTCTCCACGCGCTCGCTCTACGCCTCCTGACAGGCTCTTGCTCTTCGCCCCACATGCTCTCTCTCACCCACGTCGTCCCCGTCTCTCCACCCGACCATCCCCTCTCCCTGCACTGGACTTGTCTCTCTCCCTGCACTGGACTCGTCTCTCTCCCTGCACTGGACTCGTCTCTCTCCCTGCACTGGACTCGTCTCTCTCCCTGCACTGGACTCGTCTCTCTCCCTGCACTGGACTTGTCTCTCTCCCTGCACTGGACTCGTCTCTCTCCCTGCACTGGACTTGTCTCTCTCCCTGCACTGGACTCGTCTCTCTCCCTGCACTGGACTTGTCTCTCTCCCTGCACTGGACTTGTCTCTCTCCCTGCACTGGACTCGTCTCTCTCCCGCATCCTGCACCCCATCTCCCTCGAGAGGGGCGTTCCTTACTCTCCCGTCCGCCCATCCTCCTTCCTCCCGCACTCCAGACGCATCCTCATTGCCGCACGTGACCTGCGGCACACATGCTGCTCCCTGTCTCACATGCTGCTCCCTGTCTCACATGCTGCTCCCTGTCTCACATGCTGCTCCCTGTCTCACATGCTGCTCCCTGTCTCATGAGCGATATTTGGATGGATATTTGCTCCCGCATGTGATCTCACCCAAGTCCTCCAAGTCTCACTCTTCCGCCCATCCTCCCGCCCTCCAGACGCATCCTCATTGTTGCACGAGCCACAGAGCATGTGCGCACTCACGTGGGAAATTCCCCATCCTCCTGTCTGCCGGTCTGCCCACCTCCCCCCCTGCAGGGGTGTCATCAGAGAGCTCAGCTCATGAGAGAACCCTCTCACCGCCCCGCCCTACTCCATCTCTCTCTCTCTTGCGCCTGTTGCCCCCTCTTGCAGAGGTCTCATCACTCCCGCACGAGCTTCAGCGCATGCTCTCACTCATGAGGGAGCTTTCCCTTTTTCTACTCCCTCTTCTGCCCACCCCCCTTCCCCACCCTTGCAGAGCTGTCATCACTCCCCCACGAGCTGCAGCGCATGCTCTCACTCATGCGGTGCCTAACTTTGCGCCCACCTTTGCGGTCATGCGGTGTCATCACTCCCCTACGACTTGCAATGCATGCTCTCTCTTGTGAGCGGCCTCACGCCCCTCATCCATCTCTCTCTCGATCCCGCCCTTGCTCCCACTCCCTGCAGAGGTGTCATCACTGCCCCACGAGCTGCAGAGCATGCTCTCATCTCACAATCACTCATGACGTCGCACCCCTCCTCCATCTCCCTCTCTTCCACTCACCTCCCCCTCCCCTGCAGAGGTGTCATCATTGCCCCACGAGCTACAGCGCATGCTCTCACTCATGCGGGAGCTGGACGGCCGATGCCAAGGTGGGTGCAAAGCAGTGGTCACGGCAATAAGGTACTGACCATTTCTTAGGTGAGATGACTTAACCTTGCGCCGACTGTTGTTTGAAGAGAAATGGTGCAGCATGGTGTGTGCTTACTTACTTTGCCATGCCGGGTGTGTCTGCGACTACGTGTGCATGTGTCTGCGTGTGCCTGTGGCTGCGTATGCCTGTATTTGCGTATGCCTGTGTCTGCGTGTGCCTGCGTGTGCCTGTGTCTGCGTGTGCCTGCGTGTGCCTGTGTCTGCGTGTGCCTGCGTGTGCCTGTGTCTGCGTGTGCCTGCGTGTGCCTGTGTCTGCGTGTGCCTGCGTGTGCCTGTGTCTGCGTGTGCCTGTGTATGCCTGTGTCTGCGTGTGCCTGCGTGTGCCTGTGTCTGCGTGTGCCTGCGTGTGCCTGTGCCTCCTTTCCCCCCCCAGCGCTGCGCATGGAGATTCAGAGTGACATCCGGGCGGGGCTCACGGCCATAGAGGAGAGGGAGGCGGCCCTCAGAGCGGCTGATGCTGGCCCACCTGGCCATGGGGATGGGGATGGGGATGGGGAGGGGGATGAGAGTGGGGGGGACGACGACGATGCTGCTAGTGAGGGCGATGCTGACGATGATGGGAATGGGGAGGACGGCAGTGAGGGAGGTAATGTGACGGTTGGCGCTGCTGTTGCTGATGGTGGGTCTAACGGTGCCGCTGATGGTGCTACTCATGGGTGCAGTCAAGGCACGGCACGCGATGAGGCCTATGGGCTGTCAACACAGGTGGGGAACTCCCTTCTTCTTGGGCAAGAAGGTATGCCTTCTCCTGCACCAGGCAGCGAACCAGAAGTGCGGGTTGAAGGCGGAATACTTGCAGGGAAGGGTGAGAAGGAGGCAGGGGGAGGGGGGGAGAGGCGACCAAGGGGGAGACCGAGGAAGAGAGGGAGGGGGGAGAGGGAGGGCGTGGATGGGGAGGGGTTTGTGGGTGGTATGGTGAAGGTGGAAGAGGAGGTGGAGGGAGGGGGGAGGAAGAGCATCGGGAAGAAAAGGCCACGAGCACAGCAACACCAGGTGGGGCAGCAGCAGCAGCAGCAGCAGCAGCAGCAGCAGCAGCAGCAGCAGCAGCAGCAGCAGGTGGGGTTACAGCAGGAGGAGGAGGAAAGAAAGGGCGAGGCTGTGGTTGTAAAGGCAGAACTTTCCACTATGACAGAGAGAGTGACAGGGGCAGCTGTGACCGATGTGATTCGTGCGTCTGCAGAGAGGGTGGCAGGGGGATTGGAGGAGGAGGGGGCGGGGAGGGATGGGCGGGATGATGTCGATGGTGACGTCAGCGATGAGAGGGAAGCTGCTCTGCGGAGGCTGAGGGAGGAAATTTCCGAGAAGCAGGGGAAGATGCGGGCATTGTGTGATGAGAAGGTCATTCTGGCGCAGCAAGTGAGCGCGCTGGTGAGTGTGTGGCGCATCGTGTGCATGTTCAGTGGGGTGTGCAGCCATCGTGTGCATGTTCAGTGGGGTGTGCAGCCATCGTCAGCCCGCCAATGACAATGACAATGACAATGACAATGACAACAAGGCCGCCATGGCTGCCACCAGGGATTTCGGAGCTACCAATGTCGGTGCTCCCGATGGTTACAAGTTCCAATCAGCATCTCTTGAGAATCGTCTTTCAAAGAGGAACACAAGGATATAACTTTAATGTCAAAACAGCTGACATTGGTTCCTGTTTCTTGAATGCATATCCTCTCAAGGCTCGCGGAACTAACATCAATGGTCATCTCCCAGGCTCTTTCTTGGTTGGTTGTTCAGCGTACAAGTCTCAAGGGTCGTTGCTAATCCCATGGTTTCAGTCATCCCCAGAGTTCTTCATTCAGGCTTCCCAGGCTTGCTCCGTCAGCTTCTTAAAGACGCTCAGTCGTTGGGATTCACCAACATTGTTGTGGCTGTGGTGGCTTTTTCATCATCACGTCATGCCTCCGAAACCCAAGCCTGCTAAGCCTGCTAAGATGGATCCTGCTGCTGGTGCTGCGCTACCAAAGACGCCTGCTCCCGCGACTAGCCGGCCTGTCTCCGTGACTGCTGTCCCGCCGAAGTCTTCACGTGCACTTTTCGTTGAAGACGACGCTGATTCATTGACGCTTTCCGCTAAGTTGGCTGCGATCCGGATTGAGCAAGCCGCTGGTGGGGGGAAGGATCCGGAAAAAAGGCAAAAGCAAGGACGCGGATTTTAAGGACGCGATCTCCGAAGATGCAGAGGGAGAAGCTGAAGAGGACGAGGGAGAGGCCTCTGTCCCTGCATCGCGCTACGCTTTCCTCAATGACGATGACGACGGTTTGATCGCGCATGACCCGAATGAGTCCTTTGAAGACAAGGCGAAGGGGGAGTTGGTTGCTAAGCTGAGGTTTCCGCTTACCTTGTTGATCCCTAACGAGCACATGCAGGAGGTCCAGTTTATGGAAGCTACTGTCAAAGGCCTTTTGGTGCTTTAAAAACTCGATCTTACCGAGAACGCGGCTGCGACGACTACGTGCCAGGAACTCGCTCCTGCTTACCTTTCCAAGAAGCTTTATGGTCGTCTGCAAGTTACTTTTGTCATTGCTGCTGACGCGAACTTCGTCTGGCGTAACAGTGTGGACCATTTGTGTAGGGACGGAAAGTACGTCACCTTCGATTGGCAGTTCCCAGAGGATCCGAGTTACACAAGGCGGAAGATGATGGACACTTCGGTCATAGAAGTCCTTTTCACCGGCATTGCTGCTGAAATCTCCCCGGAGCTGCTCCATGAGGCGCTGGTGAAATCCACCCTGAAGATCTGTCAGCGTCCAGCCTTCAAGGACGGCTTCTGCTTTCACCGTGTTGTCAATCCTGTCTCGGGACTTGACACAGACCGGGTGAAGGGTTTGGTTGTGGCCTTCGAGAACGACAAGTTCCGCTGGAAGCACTTCTTCGAGAACCCTGTCGCGCCTGGCACCAGGATCATGGTCCACTATCCGGCCCTGAAATGCAGTCTCTGTGGCGGCATGCACTCGGTGCACACTCACAACGACTTCATCACTACTCGACAAAGCAACATTTCCAAGTGGAACCTCACAGTGCGGAGGGTCCATGAGCTCAACGGTAGAAATGGAGTTTGCTGCTTACCCGTTTACGCTGCAACTTTTTCCTGTCGGTTGTTGCCTGACGCTCGCTTGCCGATTCCCCGTACGTGCAGCAGCTGCGACAGTAGCGTCAGTAGCTACCAAGATCATCCTCAAGGATCCGGCCATAGTTCTCGTTTCAACGGCTGGCAACCAGGAAGAGTGGGTCTGCCTGCTGGAGTGCTGCGAAAAGGGGAGGGATCATCTTTCGAGCAGGCGGCGCATCACGCTCTCTCACAGCGTCACCGTGGGGGGTTGGTGAAGCCTGGTGCTGCAACGCGAGTGCTCAAGGACAAGATGGGCCTCCGTTTGTTTAATGGATTACGGGATCTAGAATGTGTACCTGCGCAAGAAGGAGAAGGATGGTCCTTAGTTATCCAGTGTCGATGCCTATCAATGTATGCATGCCTATATAGTGGTCTTTCAGATTTCTCACCTCTGCCCGTGGATGCTTTGGGGCCCCCGCGTGGTTGTTTAATGGATAAACCCTGCAACTTATCGGTGTGCGAGCACAACGTGAACGGGCTCGGAAGCAGAGGAAAGCAAAAGAATCTGAAAACCTGGTTCAAGAAGGGGACTGACATTTTCGTACTCACAGATACGCGTATTGCGCAAGACCATCGATTCTGGAAGGACCTGAAATACCGCCATTGTCACGCTGTTGCGAACGTGGAAAGGGCAGGAGGGGTAGCTATCGTCAGCAACAACGATCAGCTGACCTTTGAGAATGTTGTATCGCATGGATCCGGCAGGCTGCTTCAGGTGGATGTCAAATGGGACACCTTTACCTTCACCTTGTTGGCAGCGTACTTCCCGTCGAGCGCCTGCTGCCGTCGAGCGTTTTTCACAGATGCGCTGGAGCCCTTCTTAAAGAGCAATCTGGGAGGCAGGAGCCGATTCTCGGGCGCAGAAGGCTAGCTCACGGATAGATCGGATATTGGTGTCGGCAGAGTTGCTCCAGTCAGTGGCAGAGGCGTTTCACTCCCGGCCGCTGAAGGGGATATCTGATCACAAGTTCGGTATCAAGGCAGTGCTGCGGGCGAACCTGCGTCTCCACTTGGGTCCGGGCCTGTGGCGCATGCCTGCGATAGAAACAACAAAGCCGGGGGCAGAGAAGATCGTTCAGGCGGTCTCCGAAAGACATCGTGCCGGGGGCTCGGGGAGTTTCGGTAGCCTGCTAACAAAGCTTAAGCTGGCGCTGAGGAGGTACACTACTGAGGAGCGTAAGCGTATACGGGCGACGCTACGTCACCTGGAGGAAGCTGGGTCGGGGTTGCAGCATGGTGTGATGCGGAACCCCGGGAATGAAGACCTGCGCGCGAAACTGTCCGAGAAAGAATCCCAGTTGAACGCTTATCTGCGGGGGGAGAGTGACAGACTGCAACTGCTGGCAGGGGAGAAAGAGGTAGCAAAAGGTGAAATTGTGTCGAAAGTCCTCACGGCGAAGGTGAAGATGCGGAAAGCGAAGACATCGTTCTCTATGCTATCATATAAGGGCGTGGAGCACAGAGGGACGAGGGGAATCTTGGAGGCCGCCTCGGACTTCTACGCCTCGCTGTTCGCGGAAGCACCCCCCTCGGGACTGTCGTGCTGGAAACCCGAAGTCGGCAAGACGCTGGGGGGCGAGGAGGCTGCTGGCTTGGAAGAGGCCTGGACGGAGAAGGAGGTGCTACAGGCGCTTTAGGATTTGGCGAAGGACAAGGCTCCTGGGAGCGATGGGCTGCCGAAGGAGCTTTTCGAACGCCACTGGGACCTGCTCAAGGAGGATTTTATGGGGTTCATACAGAACTTTGAGTCCACGGCATCACTTCCTGAGGAGGTGCAGGAAGCAGTAACGGTCCTGTTGCACAAGAAAGGTCCGAAAGAGCACATTCGGAACTATAGACCAATCACTCTGCTAAATAGCTCGTATAAGGTGGTGGCAAGGCTGCTGGCCAACCGGATGAAGGGCGTCCTGGACAAAGTCATCTCCAAGGATCAGTGTGGCTTCCTCCCAGGCAGGCGGTTGTCCGATGCCGTGTCGCTGGTAGCGGACGTGATTGAAGCAGCAAGAAACAAGGACAAGGACTGGTATATCCTCATGGTCGACTTCCAGAAGGCGTTTGATTCTGTTTCACGCACATACCTCTTTGACACCATGTCGCTCATGGGCTTCCCGGAGAAGTTCGTCGGCTGGTGCAAGGGGCTCCATGATGGGTCCTTCACGAGGCTGCTAATCAACGGCTGGCTAGGCGATCAGGTTGTGGTGGGCAAAGGGGTCCGGCAGGGGTGTCCGCTGGCTCCGTACCTCTTCCTGTGCGCTGTGGAACCCATCTGCCAAGAAGCAAAGCGGCGGAAGTTAGGGATCAGCAATGACTACGGTGAAAGGATAACCTACCTGGGATACGCGGATGACACCACACTGATCTTGAAGGGGAATCAGCAGTTCGGTAAGGCAGAGAAGCTCCTGGATGACTTCGGTGCTCGCTCGGGGCTCGTGGTCAATAAGGAGAAGTCGGCGGTGCTCCCTCAGGATGTGCAGATGTTACGTGGGGCAAGACGTTGGCCAGGGCAGCAGAGGAGCTGTTGAAGTGGCAATCTCACCATCTGACGACGACGGCGCGGGTGGCTGTGGTCAACTGCTATGTTTGCCCGATCCTGGCCTTCCAAGGGCAGGTGTATCCTCCTACGGAGGCGGTTTGGAAACGGATTATGAAGCTGCTGGTGAATTTCATCTCTGGTAACCAGGCCTCGGAGGAGCATCGGTTTACACTCTGGAGCAGAGAGCTGATTTTCCGGCCGAGGAAGGAAGGGGTTCTGGGCGTCAGAGATCCGTTTGTTGAGCTCTCCGGACTCGCGGCGAGGCGTGTCGGTACCCTCGTGCTTGAAAATGGTTTTCGGAGGGAACTGGCGCTAGCAGCGGCGGAGCTACCGAACGACTTCAGGTCCTTTTGGGCACACGAGGAGTCCCTGAAGCAGTGGAAGGGGAGAAGCGTTAGGTGGCGGCAGTCTACAGACATGCGAAATGTTCATGAAGTCAAAAATCGCAGAGCAAGGGCCGGTAACGAGGTGGGACATTGAGCAGGAGCCGCTCACCTTCAACCGAAGCATCTTGCCGAACGGGAAGAAGCCTCTTGGGAAGCAGAAGGCAGCACAGGGTTTGGAGCTGTATAAGCTGGGAGACTTCATCGCTACTGCAGAAGGCGGGACGAGGTCCATCAAGACCCTAGAAATCTTGACGAGGGAGATGGGGACCAAGGAAAAGGCGCGAAGAGCGCTGAAATTCTTTAATTGCATCCCGGATTCATGGAAGCACAAGCTATTGGCGCCGCTCACCGGGGAGGAGCTGCTAGCGGTGTCGAAGCATGTGAAGCTGGTGGGCGCCATCGGCCCCTGGAAAATTGACAGAGTGGAGCACGGAGAACTAGTCTGCCGAGCATGTGACTATGGGGGTACACCTCTGGAAGGGGAAGCTGAGAGGGTTGTTACGCTAAGCCCGCGCGCAGTGCAGCCGTTGGTTGTTCGGAAAGGCCGTGTAATCGGTGTTGCAGGGCTGCCTGAGGTGAGGCTGAGGGTTTCGGAGCTCTGCGCGGAGGACCAGATTCCCCCTTTTAAGCTGCTGCGGGGTCTCTTTGAGGTGCAGAGGGGAGAGGCGCGCCAGCATGCTAAATGGGCAGAGGAGTGGGGAAGATGCATTGATTGGACCAACGTCATCAAGGTCCGCGACTCACCAGCCTTGCCGAACCGGGCTCGGGATGTCCTGCTCTGACTACACTGTCGGAACCTCCAAGTGGGGGTGCGTCTGAGCTTCCAAGACGGCGGAGCACTGTTTATTCAGTTGCCCGCGCATCCAGCCGGTGGTACAAGGGCTGTTGAGGGCGCTGCGGATGCTGAACCCCGGCAGGAAAATAAGGTCGCTGGGAGATCTGCTGTTTCAAAAAGAGGGCACGAGATCGGGCTTCTTAGAAGCAACCATCACTGCTATCACACTACACAAGTTATGGGTGGAGAGGTGTGACGCAGCTTTTGACCGAGGTCAATTCCGGTCCAGAAGGGTACTCCGGAAAATTGCAACGGCTTTTTACACGCACACAAGGGTCTATTTGAGGATCAGGAAAAGGGGAAATCGCGCAGGAGGGGCAGAGGGTCTTGGTCAGCGCTCACTGCTGGAGCCGCTGGACCCGGACGAATTCCGTTCGATGGGCAAGATATGTGACAGCTCAGCGAAGTCGCTTGCGTGGGTGCATGGCTTTACCTCCATCTGGGCCAACCCGCGCACGATCCATCATCCTCCTTAAAGGGTCGGGATGGGTACGACAGTATAGCGCTGTCTAGGCCCATCAGCCACAGTTACGACTGTCAATGTCTGTATATGCTTTTATAGTGAATACAGCATAAAAAAAAAAAAAAAAAAAAAAGTGGGGTGTACAGCCATCGTGTGATCCCTCCAGGAACTTCACTGCCCTCCATCCATACTCCCCGCCTTGCGCTCCTGCCTTTCCCTTTTCTCCCCATAGAGTCACGTGCCTTACCCTCTTTGCCCTCGCTCCTCTCCATTCACACCTGTCTCTTCCACCCAAGCTCAAACAATAATCACCTGGGGCGTCCGTTCATACCCTCTTTGCAGTCTGGACTGGGAGCTGCATTGCAACAGTTGCCTTACTGTCTAATTTCCCCTTATCCATTCGACTCTCCATTCCTGCGCACGCAGTCGTAACCAGGAGCTGCAGCACTTGCCTTACCCACGTTGCTTTGCTCCTCGTCCTCTCCATTCACCCCTACGTTGGAGAGACACCTGCGCAGTCTCAACCACGAGATGCAGCACCTGCCTTCTATATGCTCCCTTCCTCTTCATTCACCCGAACGTTCCTCTCGTTGCCCCTTGCACCCCAGCTGGAGAGCCATCTCCGCAGTCTCAACCACGAGATGCAGCACTTCTCCGAGGACCTCAAGCAAGGTGAGGGTGGTGAGCAAGGTGAGCGGAGGGAGCAAGGTGAGCGGAGGGAGCAAGGTGAGGGGAGGGAGCAAGGTGAGCGGAGTGAGCAAGGTGAGGGGAGTGAGCAAGGTGAGGGGAGTGAGCAAGGTGAGCGGAGTGAGCAAGGTGAGCGGAGTGAGCAAGGTGAGCGGAGTGATGACTTCATGTGCAGCAACTGCTGCTGAAAACGAATTAACAGTTGTAGGGTGTTTGCTTGCTTGTAAAGCCATGGGAAAAAATAGAATACAAAACGGTTACCAGATTTTGCTCAGAGATTTCTTCAGTTCAGACCCCATTTTTAGTGCAGGCGGTTTTTTTGGAATTTTCAAAAGCCCGTGCTCGTCCCCTTGCCTCTTGCCCCACCAAAGACTTGCTCGTCCAACCCGTCTTTCCCTGCTCCTTGCCAATACCCACAGACGGACGGTTCATGGTCGATGATCCCTTCACGCCCGTTCCTGACCGTCGGATCCTCCCCTCCTCCACCTCCACCACACCCCTCCGCACCCCTTCTCCTTCCCCCAACCTCACCTCCCCATACGCCACCCCCCGTCGCCCCCCTGCCGCCCCAGCTGCCTCCCCAGCAGCAGGGGGCGGGGGAGGGGCGCGGGGGTGGGGGGAACTGAAGGGGGAAGGGCGGGGGTTGAGTGCTGTGGCTGTGCTAGCATCTGGCAGTGGTGGGGAGGGGGGGGGAGGTGGGGGAGGTGGGGGAGGGGGTGTGGGGGAAGCAAAAGGGGAGGCGTGGCAAGGAAACCAGGAGAGGGAGAGCGAGAGAGGGGCAGGGAGGGAAGTAGGGAGGGAGGCAGGGAGGGAGAGGGAGTGGGAGAGGGGAGGAAGGGGTGCTGCCCTCATGCCGCCTCCTGCTGCCCTCCCGCTCTCTAGGAAGAAGGGAGGGGTGGGCAGGGGCGTGCCGGTGGGGGCAGGTGGCGAGAGGAGGGAGGTGCCCGAGGGAGGGGCAATAGTGCAGGTGTATGAGCCGACGTATTGCACATGCGGGCAGGTGTGCTTTCTTCTTTCCTTTCCCTCCCTCGTCTCGTTTTTCGGTCTTCGTATCAAACTATGCAAGTTACTGTCGTTTATCCGTTTTAACTTCCTTTCATATGCGGGCAGGTGTGCTTTCTTCATTCATTTTCCTCTTAATCCGTTTCAACTTCCTTTCAACCCCCCGGTTTCAGTTCTGGCCGATTCCTTCTCACAGTACCCCCCTTCCTCTTTTCTTGCATTTCACCTTTCTATTCCACTTACTGCCTGTCCACCCACACTTATGGTGCCAATGCCAGGTGTCGTTTGGAGACATGATCGCATGTGATAACGCAAACGTGAGTTTCATATAAGCTGTTTGTGCAAATAAGGTCAGATGAAACCAGTGCGGTTAGATTCTGCACAGTTGTATCTGTGAGTATTATCGCAGGCGCATGCACGATGTGCATTTTTAGGAATGCATGGGGATTGGATTGTGAATGTTCACATGCCCTGGTTGTGCATTTGGAAGTTGTTGGTGTGATTGTGGATGTGGATATGCATGTGCATGTGGATATGCATGTGCATGTGGATGTCCATGTGCATGTGCATGTGCATGTGGATGTCCATGTGCATGTGCATGTGCATGTGCATCTGGATGTGCATGTGCATGTGCATTTGCATGTGCATGTGCATGTGAGTGTGAATGTGCAAGGGAATAAGTGAATATCCCTCATACCATGTTCAGGTCAGTGCGAGGCAGGCGAGTAGTTCCACTACGAACGAGCGTGTGGGGGAATTGGGAAAATAACGCCAACCAAACTCAACCTCTCTCTTTTCTTTCCACCTTCCCCCCCACTCCTACCGTATCTGCAGTGCGAGGGAGGTGAGTGGTTCCACTACGAGTGTGTGGGAATGCTGGGACACGAACACCACCCAATCTTCAGCTTCCCCCTTCACCCCCCCCCTCTTCCGGTGTGCAGTGCGAGGGAGGCGAGTGGTTCCACTACGAGTGTGTGGGGCTCAGCATGGCCATGCCCCGGATCCACGACAAGTGTTCCTGCCCTCACTGCACCTCCCTGCACAAGAAAGGGATGCTGCACTTGCCAGCTTAGAGCTTGTGATGCATTAAACACCACTGCGGTATGTTAATTGTTATGTAACAAGGTTGTACATTCCGCAAGTCGTACAATCCGTGCAAGCCAAAGTCAGTATGGTACCACCATAGTATTGAAGCTGACAGACAACAATCACGGCAGCAAGGGATAAGAACTGGTGAAAATTGTGGTACCGGTACCCTATATTGGCCCTTGGTTTCGCTGCACAGTATTTTTGAATGGATTGCATGCAACTTGCAGAAGCTCCGCAACCACTGGTGCATTCTACAGTAAATGCCTAAGAAAGCCCAAGCATCAACTCCTGCCTAATGCCATTCCCTTCCTCCTCACAGACACATGTGTCCTACAAAAGTTGTGTGAGAATCTGCTGTGCTGAGGCAATGGTAGGCTGCCTTCTAACATCCCGTCGCAGAAAAATCCCTTTCTACCATGTCGTGCACATCAGCAGCCGCGGATACCCTTTTCTCCTACGGTAGTTCCAACCGCTTATATACGGGGGATTACGGTAGGTTTTTAGGACCCTGTCAAATGTTTATATATTCTATATATTGTTAGATAGGCTACTGTGAGTTGCCCTCTAAAGGGTACAACACTTTAGGTCGACATTTGTATCTCCTTGTCCCTCCTTACTCAAACATTACTCTCGACACTTGTCTCCTAGCCTATCTTAAGATGGTATTAGAGTAGGTTTTTTACTCCCTCCCACGCTTCCGCTCCCTCCCTTAGCCGGTCCCGAGGCGCCCGTCCCTTAGGCCCCGTTTCGTCGCGGGTAGGACGGCCCCCGCGGGCCTCGTTTTCGTCGCGTTTAAGGGCCCCCGTGGGCCTCGTTTTCGTCGCGTTTAAGGGCCCCCGCGGGCCTCGTTTTTCGTCGCGTTTACAGGGCCTCGCTGGCCCCTCGTTTCGTCGCGCTCCAGAAGGGACTCTCCCCCCCCCCCCCGCGGGCCCGCGTAGTCGTTCTTAGCCCGCAGCAGCGCGCGCGTTAGCCAGCGGCAGCCGCGCACGCCACTGCAGCACGCGCATTGCAGCAGCAGCGCGTGCTTTGCTGCAGCAGCACGGCTAGGCAGCAGCGCGTGCATTGCAGCAGCAGCACGGCTAGGCAGCAGCGCGTGCATTGCAGCAGCAGCACGGCTAGGCAGCAACGTGTGCATTGCAGCAGCAGCACGGCTAGGCAGCAGCGCGTGCTCCTGCAGCAGCAGCACGGCTAGGCAGAAGCTAGCCGCCAGCAGCAGCTAGCCACCGGAACCTAGCCGCCAGCAGCTGGCGCCAGCTAGCCCCTCCCACCCGCCCACAGCCCCTTTCAACCGCTCACAGCCCCTTCCAACCGCTCACAGCCCCTTCCGACCGCTCACAGCCCGTTCCAACCGCTCACAGCCCCTTCCAACCGCTCACAGCCCCTTCCAACCGCTCAGAGCCCCTTCCAAACGCTCACATCCCCTTATTTCTGCACGCTATTCCACCCCTTCCTCTGCCTCCCTCAGCCGCATCCTCATGCCGTTCGTGTTTCCCGACCTCGGCTCTTTTGCGACTGTCTCTGACCTAGCCACACACTTGCGCTCCCTTGTCGCTAGCTACCGAGCAGCTTGCACTGAGGCTCAGCTTCTTGTTGCTCCTCCTCCTATTTGGCTCACAGTCCACTGGGTAGTCACTCGTCTCCCTGACCGCCTCTCCATTGCCCGTGACGCACTTCTCCAGTGAGCTTACGATTGATCTTCTCGAGACCACTCTCGGGAAGATCGAGAGTAACCTCCTCTCTGTTGCCTCAGCCACTGACGCAGTTGCCCCTCGTTTGTTTGAGGGGTGTGCTGTCCCCCAGCTTCCTACCTTCACTGCTACACGTGCCTCTGCTGCTGTGTCGGTTTCTGAGGACACTGCAGCTGTTTCTGCCGCTGACAGGCAGAAACGGGGCAAGGGGGGCAAGAAAGGGGGGAAGGGGGGTGGCGGCGGTGGAGGAGGTGGCGGTGGTGGAGGCGGCCCTGGGGGCGGCAGTGGTGGCGGTGTTGCCCCAGGCGGAGGGAGCTCTGGAGGAGGTGCTGACCCACCTGCTGGAGGAGGTTCGACCAGCGGTGGTGCGGGGCCCCAGCAGCAGCAGCCACAGCAGCAGCAGCCACAGCAGAGACAGCAGCTGCACCAGGGACAGCAGCAGTGGCAGGCACCACAGCAGTTTCAAACGTGGGGACCCCCACTGCAGTGGGGTCCGCAGCAGCACTGGGGCCCTCCGCCACAGTGGGGACCTGGAGGACCCGGGAGCACTGGCCGCAGCAGCAGCACTACCAGCTGGGCCCCTCGCCCCCCGCGGCGCGACACCGGCCCCTGCGACCACTGGTGCGTCACCGGACCTGGCAGTCCCTGTGTCTGCGGCCGCGACGACCACTCTGCAGCGCGGTGCTTCCGCCGCCTCGACGACCTCTACCGTGCACGCTGGGGTCCTGAGGCGACCACCCCGCGCTGGGCTCGCCTGCTAGCCCGTAAGATTCCTGTATTTGAACTGTCTATGGACGATGCTCGTCAGTATGCTTTGTATGCTGATGTTGACTATAGTGCTGATGGATTTGTGTGCTCGCGTGTTCGTAGTCTAGGATGCTTGCCTCCTGTTAGTGTAGACCTGTGCCTCTCTAGTCTAGGTGCTTGTGTTTCTGCTCTAGGTGCTTGTGTAGCCTCCGGACCTGACACGCCTCCGGCTGAGGCGTCTCTGTCGTTCACGCTGGACTCTGGCGCGTCGCAGTGTTTCTTCCGCGACCACACGACCCTCACACCACTTCTTGCTCCGGTTCCGGTAGCTTTGGCTGATCCTTCTTCAGGACCAGCCGTTGCGCGCAGCTCCACCACCCTCCCGTGCCCTGTGGTCCCCTCTGGTGTCTTGCGCGGCCTCCACATCCCCTCGTTCACTCGGAACTTGGTGGGTGTTGGATACCTCCAGGACAGGGGGATCACCGTTACCTTTGTGGGGGGGGGGCGGACTGAAGTCTGTACTGACGCTACCACAGGTGCTGTTCTGGCCACGTTCACCAGGGAGCCCCGCTCCGGTCTCTACGTTCTCCACACCGAGCGCTCCCCGGTCGCGTCCTCCCCTCAGGTTGTTGCGTCCCTTCCGGCTCAGGTCCCCAGTCCAGTTGCTGTGTCTAGCCAGGTAGTCGTGTCCAGTCCGGTCGCTGTGTCCAGTCCAGTCGCTGCGTCTTGCTCCTGTCGCTCTCTCGCCCACCGCACCGTCCTGTGGCACCACCGTCTTGGCCACCCGTCGATCCCTCGCCTTCGTGGCATGCTCAGTCAGGGACTAGTCACAGGTCTCCCACGCACCTTCCCGTCGCTCCCTCTCTCGCTTGCCCCTCCTTGCTCTCCGTGCGTCGCCGGTCGCTTACGCGCCACTCCCCACTCCTCCTCCCTTCGTCCGGCCACCGCTCCCTTCGAGACTCTCCACTTGGACGTCTGGGGCCCTGCCCCGACGCAGGGGTCTGGGAGGGAGCGTTACTTTCTGGTGGTCGTCGACGACTTCTCCAGGTACACCACAGTGTTCCCTCTTGCGAAGAAGTCCGAGGTGACTGCTACGCTGATCAGGTGGCTTCTAGCCACTGAGGGCACTCGTGGTCGTCGAGTCAGTTGTCTTCACTCCGACCGTGGGGGCGAGTTTCGCTCCGGCATTCTCGGCGGATTCTGCGGCGAACAGGGCATCACCCAGTCCTGGACGCTGCCAGAGTCCCCACAGCAGAATGGGGTTGCTGAGCGCCGCATAGGCTTGGTCATGGACATCGCCCGCACGTCCATGATTCATGCCCGTGCGCCCCATTTTCTGTGGCCCCACGCGGATCGCTACGCCGCACACCAGCTGAACCTCCAGCCGCGTGTCTCGCGGCCCGAGGCTTCACCGACCAGTCTTTGGACTGGATCCCCTGGTGTTGGGTCGGCCTTTCGAGTCTGGGGCTGCCTTGCACTTGTTCGCGACACCTCCGCGGACAAGCTCTCAGCACGCGCCGTCCCATGTGTCTTCCTTGGTTTCCCAGTGGACTCTGCTGACTGGTCCTTTTACCACCCTCCCCTCCACCAGTTCCTAGACTCCCGTGACGTCCGGTTTGACGAGTCCGTGTCCTACTACACCCGGTACCCCTGTCGAGGTCTCCCGGTACCCCCTCCCCCTCTCTTCCTCGCACCCTCTCCTCCTCCTGCTCCCGCTCCTCCGGTACCCCCGCCCCCCCCAGGTCCTGCCCCGTCTGGTGTGTCGCACGCTACCCCTCTACCC